TTCTATTCTATTTTTATATTATTTATTTATTATTATTCTTTATATATTTATATTATTTCTTATTTTTTAGTATTATTATTCTTTTTATTATTATTATTATTATTTGTTATTATATATTTATTATTATTTTTATTTTTATTTTTTTTTTTATTATTATTATATTATTATTACTCTTTTATTTTTCTTATTATTATTTTTCCTTTTTTTTATTATTAATTATTTTATTATTCCATTTTTATTATTTTATTATTACATATTTTATTTTTTTCTTTTATTATTATTTTTTTTTTTATTTTATTATTATTATTATTATTATTTTTATATTACTCTTATTATTATTATTATCTTTATTCTTATTTTATTATTATTAATTATTTTTTATAGTATTATAGTCTATTTATAATTAGTATTATTATTACTATATTTTTTTATTCTTATTATTATTATTTTTTTATTATTATTATTTAAATATTATTCTTCTTATTATTATTATTTTTATCTATTATATTTTTATTATTCTTATCTTATTAGTTCTTATTAGTACGTCTTCTTCTAGTTAGTAAGTATTCTTTCTTATCTACGTATATCTTATTATTCTTATTCTTCTTCTCTTCTATTACTAGGTCTTATTAGTCTTCTTATTATTAGTTCTTACGTTTCTGTCTTACTGCTTCTATTAGGATTTATCTTATCTTCTTTTCTTGCTTTATTATGAGTATTGTAGTATTATCTTCTCTTATCTGATTATGTAGTCTTCTTGAGGATGTCTTCTATCTATGCTGAGTATTATTTATCTTTTATGTATCTCTAATCTTCTTATTATTCTTAGTCTTCTTCGTATCTATTATTAGCTCTCTATTTATTATTATTATTTTTCTTATTATTCTATTATTATTATCTTATTATTCTTGATTAGTATCTTATTCTTTCTATTCTTCTTCTTGTCTTATGATCAGGATTCTGATCTTCTCGATTCTTATTTTATCTAGGATAGTGATTCCCTCTTCTGTAGGAGGTCTTCTTCTTACTTCAGGAGTCTTCTTGATGCTATTCTTCTATCTTCTTCTTCTTAGTCTGTCTTCTATTCTGATTATTTCTTCTATTCTTTCTGTTCTTCGTCTTCTTCTTTATGTTCTTCTGAGATTATTCTATTCTTTACTTATTCTTCGTCTTATTCTTTTCTTCTGTTCTGCTGTTAGGTTCTTCTGTCTTCTTCTAACTTATTCTTCTGTACTTCTTCGTATTCTTCTTCTTGTTCTTCTTCTCTCTGTCGTTCTTCTTGTCTTATTATTCTTCTTCTTACTTCTTCTTATTCTTCTGATTTCTCTTCTTCTTCTTCTGCTTCGTATTCTCCTTGTCTTATGTTCTTCTCTAATCTCTTCTCGATCTGTGCTTACCTTCTATGCTTATTACTTCTTTGTACGTCTTCTTTATTCTTGCTTCAGCTCTTCTTCTTCTTCTTCTTCGTACTTCTTCTTCTTCTTCTTCTTCTTCTTCTAGCTTCTTATTTCTTCTTCTTCGTCTTCTTGCTTCTTCTCTTCTTCTTCTGCGTTCGACATTTTTCATGCTACACATTGAGTCGCGTCTGGGTCAAAAATAGGACTGTGCGTTTAAGGTCGCCACCGGTCACCCATAGCTTCTCTCGCAATGTGGCTCCTTTGGGCCAGATCCACAGTCTTTGCTGGGAGAGGTAAGGGCAGTACTGCAGTATGTGCTCAAAGGTCTGTCTTTCTGCTCCACAATCACAGGTAGCAGATTCTTTTATGCCTATCCTGTACAGGTGTGCTCTTAGACCACAGTGTCCAGTCCGAAGTCTAAAAATTGATGTTTGTTCTTCCTGTCAGGTCAATATGTGTTGTCATTGTGAGTTTCTTAATGAAGCTGTGGTAGCTCCTCTTTTTTTTTTTTTCCATCCACATTTTCTTAGAAGACTTCTCAACAATCTTTTTCATTGTCAGAATAAGTAAGTACCATATTTTGTGATAGCCTGGATGATCTTGTTGTTGTTGTTGTTGTTGTTGTTGTTGTTGTTGTTATTGTTGTTGTTGTTGTTGTTCTTCTTCTTCTTCTTCTTCTTCTTCTTCTTCTTCTTCTTCTTCTTCTTCTTCTTCTTCTTCTTCTTCTTCTTCTTTTTCTTCTTCTTCTTTTTTTTTTCCTTTTCTTTTTCTTCTTCTTCTTCTTCTTCCTTCTCCTCCTCCTCTTTTTCTTCTTATTTTTCCTCTTCCAATGCATTTCAAGCTCTTTAGGTACATTGCTGCGGATATTTTCCCCCCCCCCCCCCAAAAAAAAAACCCCCACTGCTTTCATTTCTGTGAAACGTAAAAACAAACTGACTGTGGAAAAGTGACATTGTTTATTCTTCTTTCTTCTTTGTGTTCACCAGCTGTACACTCTGGCGTAAAGTTCTGGTTGTTCGTCCACTACTGAACTGCAGTCATGCTCCAGAACCTGAGTGTTGCATGTGCATCCGTTTTACAGATCTGATTCAATTGAATGCAGACTGCTGGTTCCTTGCCTCTCAGGCAGATGCACTCCGAATGATAACTGTCCATCTTTCTTTTGGTCTACTTCCTGGCCTACTCTTATTAAGATTTTTTTTTCTGTATGTTTTATTCTATTTTTTATCTGCCATTCTCTCTATATGCTGAAACATGACAGTCTATAATAAGGTTTCCAAGTCGTGGTGGCGGATGGGTTATTTAAACGGACAACGAACCTTTACGAAATCTATCTAGAGTTGAAGCAGCTGAAGAATTGACTAGTGAACTATCACATTACAAAAGTGATATCACAGGAGTTACACACACACACACACACACACACACACACACACACACACACACACACACACACACACATGCAAGAACAGATAAGCAACAGTAACAAAATAGTCTGTGGAGGAAACAGAGAAAACAAAGATTACCCAGGGACATTAGGATCTGTGGATCCCTAGCTGCCTATAACGCATGTTTCCAGCGCCCTTGTTCAGTATTTGTGTGTGTGTGTGTGTGTGTGCGTGCGTGTGTGTGTGTAACGAGAAAAGGTGTGGATGTGTGTGCGCGTGTGTGTGTGTCTAAAGAGGAAAGTCATGGAAGGCACTAGCTGAAGATACTATCGAGACTGTGGCCTCAGTGTGCTACGGGAACAGTTAGCATCTACACCTTACGTCATTTGCTGCTGGAGACGGAGCATCTATGTGCTGTGATGTCGGTTCTTAAATCAGTAATCAGTAGTCTAGGTCCATTATGGCAGCGATGGACATGGAGCAGAAAATGCTGTTCACACTTTACCAGCATTAATCTTCTCAGTGATTGATTATGGAATGAGGTTACTCACTGTCTCGAAGAGTCAGCTAGAGAAACTGGAGCCAATACAGAATGAAACTAGGCGGCTGATCCTGGGATGTACGAGAGACACCCTGATACGCAATCAGGCATGCGATACATCCTTGCATTGCCGACTTTTGCAGATAGGCTAAAGGTGCTGCAGGCTAAGTCATAACGCAGATTGGCTGCAGACACGGAACACCCTCTGTATGAAGCTTTGGCTGCAGGTAAGAGTCAGAGGTTGGTAAAATCTTGGATGGCTCAAACAGAAAAACATTGGGCGAGGAGAGGAGTGGGCCAGAGAACCAGAGGGAGAGGTCTGACCTGTTGTTATGATTACATTGGACCGGGAGTGCAGAGAGAGGCCAGCGGGTGCTACGGAGGTTGAAGTCCAACAGCTAATTAATGACAATTCAGCGAAAGCCAATGGAAAATTTTAAGTGCAAGACAGCATAGCAGACGACAGCACAACATCTAACATGAGAATGGAGGTGGAGGCGGTAACTACAGTTCTCCGGTGGCTAGAGAACAAGATGCATACAAATGTCTTAACTGTAACAGACTCTGAAAGCATGCTAAGAAAGGTAAACACAGGGATGCTTCAAGCAGAGTGGCAAGCTTCACTGGGAAGGTCACGCGTAGTGAGCATACTTTGGAACTTTTCTCCAGGCTGTGCTGGCGTAGTGGGTAATGAACAGGCAGACATATTGGCCGGATCTGCTCCACTGGTTTGTGAATGGATACATGAAGAGCAGATGTGGTCAATGCCCTTTGAGAACAAGCAACGGAATCAATAAAGAAAAAAGATTATTATGGTCCTGGAGTAGAATTAGGCTCCTGGGTGTAACCAGAGGGTCTGGCAGGCTGACTACACTCAGAGGAAAGGCAAGACGGACATATAACCAGATTGTGACCGGTACCGTCATTATTAAAACTCTGCGCTGGCTGCTGAAGATGAGGACGAAGTACGATGTGGGTGCTGTGATGTCAATTCTTGACTCGAACTTAATCTAATCTCATTTAATGTTGTAATTAACATTGAATTATCTAGTGTCATTGTATGGTGTAATTAGCATTGAACTGTCAAGTCTCATTTTATGTTGTAATTAGCATTAAGCTATGAAGTCTCATTTTATGTTGTAATTAGCATTAAGCTATGAAGTCTCATTTTATGTTGTAATTAGGATTGACCTGTCAAGTCTCATTTTATGTTGTAATCAGGATTGACCTGACCTATTAAGTCTCATTTTATGTTGTAATCAGGATTGACCTGTCAAGTCTCATTTTATGTTGTAATCAGGATTGACCTGTCAAGTCTCATTTTATGTTGTAATCAGGATTGACCTGTCAAGTCTCATTTTATGTTGTAATCAGGATTGACCTGTCAAGTCTCATTTTATGTTGTAATTAGGATTGACCTGTCAAGTCTCATTTTATGTTGTAATTAGGATTGACCTGACCTATCAAGTCTCATTTTATGTTGTAATCAGCATTAAGCTATGAAGTCTCATTTAATGTTGTAATTAGCACGTCTTTTTGTCAGCCTGACTGCAGTCACCCTCTATTTGCGTCATCACCATTAGTGTCAAACTTAGCGAAAAGGGTCCTTTAGTTACTGACTTACCATGGTTGTGACCTTGTATCTTCCAACAGACCAGCGCTCGACTGTGAGAGCTCTCTCGTGCTATCACTGTAATTCGTTCAAAGATCCCGACTGTTCAGGAACGAGCCTCGACAAGTTCAAGGCTGCGTGTCCAGCAAATTCGGTTGGATGTAGGAAGATCCAGTACAAAAGTAAGTGACAGAGCACGCGCGATTAGTTCGTTGACTGCTGTAATGGCTATTTTAACTCAGCAGTCCAGTGGCGAAGCGTGGCCAATTCGCATGTGTAATCGTTAGCAGATAACGATTATACTGGGAAAGGTATGGCGTGATATTTTCCCTCCTCGTCACTTCGCTGTTGAGAGGATGCGCGGAAAGCAATTATTGTAGAGCTAGTAACTGGTAGGTTTCACACGATCCAGTGTCTGTCATGAGTGGTGTACGAATGCAGGAAGCTTACTTCTCGCTATACTGATACTCCTAACAAGCTTTACGTGCTCAATGAGACGTAAACCGAGTGGCGTATTTGTAATAAACAGTAAAGTAATGCACCTTTCTTTTACAATAATTGTGGAAGCGGCGATTACGGTCAATACATGCGCGCTAGGGCTGTCTTAATAGCGTTATGATCTATGGGCCTCCGAGCAGACCACTGTGCTGGGGCCCATACGACAACCGCTCACATAAATTACATGTAAATGGTCGAATATATTAAACATGTATTTTTTTTTACTCGCACTACAACAAAACTGTTTGCAAAAATGTATACACAGATTAGACGGAACAATATAAAACTTCTACTAACTTCTTAGAATAATAAACATTTGCACCATTTATTTTTTTAGAATTGCTTCATTGTCAACTTGAAGTAAGTCGTCTATATAATGTCATTAGTGAAAGCCAGTTCAAAACATGCTGCCTCATTTTGCATAGTTGTTTAAATAAGATTCAGTCTTGAAAAACAACGAGTTCCTGAGCAGTTGATTACACCATCATGCACATAAACACTGAGTTGAAACGTCTAAATTCGAGAAAACAGATTTTACACTGACTAAGATTAGTTTTCTTGTCTGTACAGTGCAGGGAGAGTCTCACAATTTTCATGAAATACTGACATTTTGAAAGGTCATTATAATCAAGGTCTTCTCTACTGGAGACGACAATGTTATAATTCAGGTATTGGTGATACATATTAGCCAGATGTTCATACTCTTTCTTTATTGCATCAGAAGCAATGGTTTGCTGTTGAACGACGGAAGAAAACAGATTTCCAATATATCTTCTGCTTCTTCTTCGCGTTTGCCAGCTGTAAACTCTGCCGGAAAGTTCTGGTTGTTCATCCACTTTTGGACTACAGTCCTGTTCCAGAACCTGAGTTTTGCGTGTGCATCCCTTTTACAGATCTGACTCATTTGTTTGCAGACTGCTGGCTCCTTGCTTCTCAGGCAGATACACTCCGACTTTGAAGGAAGCTCCCAATTAGTCGACTCTTACGACATGCTTTTGGGTAGACAGTGGGTCTATTCTTCTTTTCACTTTAATAGGACCTCGGAACCCACACCGGAACCAAGATATCAATAACCCGCTCCGTGTACTGTCAGCTCAAAGATTAGAGTTTTCAGAATAGGGTGGAATGTTTCCACCTTGAACTCTTCGGTGTTACTGCTGATGCATCATATCTACTAAGACAGTGATTCCCAAATTGTGCGCCGCGGCGCCCCGGGCAGCTGCGACCTCTTTACAAGGGCGCCGTGAAATATTCGAAGATAAACGATTTTTTTTTTTTACACGCGAATAGTCATTCTTTTACTTGGGTTGGGGCCCCATGAAAAAACTGATTTTGAAAAAAAGGCGCTGCGACTAAGAAAAGTTTAGGAACACTACTAAGACGGAAATTTCTTGTTGTGCCCGTTTTTGCCATCACTGTAATCTGTATCTGGATTCACACCCCTGGTTTTGAATCAAATTCACTAAATTTGTCTCTAGTTTCCGGAGATATGATTTCAAAGACTCGAGAATCAGGTGATCCAGAAATTGACCGTTTTACCTTGCTGAGCAAACTGGGCACCCTAAAGTTGCGCAAGTGTGTGTGCCAGCGAAAGCCACACAGAATGTCTGTCCCTGTCCATTATCTACAGCTCACAGTGTCGCGACATGCACTCAGCCTAGTAGCTGGACGACGACACTAGACTCATGAAGATTGGTGTCAACAAGGATGTTCACATCTAATGAATGGAGAACATTGCTTGTGTTTTTTTAAAATCCTTTCTAGTATGCCATATTCCAAAGAACTGTGAGAAAGATTATTTCTAGGTTCCCCCCCCCCCCCCCCCTCCTCCCACGTTTTTTACCTCTTTTTTTGTCTTGTCCTTGATTTTCCAGCCTCTCTTATTGTATTTACTAGCTGTTAATAGCTACAATTAGATAATTTAGTGCATGTTTTATTGTCTCGAGACTCCCATATACATCATCAAAATATGCTCCATGAGAAAAGATGGGGGGAGGGAGAGGGGTAGGTTGAGCATTAAGAAGACTTCCATATTTGAGAGAGAGAGACACACACACGGCGAGAGAGAGAGAGAGAGATAGAGAGAGAGATATATAGAGAGAGAGAAGAGGGGGGAGAGGGGGGGGGGTGGGGGGGGGGGGAGGATATACTTTCGGTTTTATATGACATAGAACTAATTTAAATGTCAAACATTTTTATTTATTTATGGCAAGTCACTTGACATACACAGATTAGCATGGGACTCGTATGCTCGTGGCGTCCCCAGACAAGTGCCAGACTGGTCCATGCTTTAAGAGGCCCCTGGTGCACGCTTCGCTACTGTCAGAATCCTGTTTCTAGGTTTGCGGAAATTTAAGCTTACCCAGGAGCAGCCAGACATCATAAAAAACTCACTAAGCTCACAAGATGTATATTGTTTTAATGTGTTTAGTTCTCCTGTGGTATAGTGTTTTGTAGATACTTATTGCTAGCGAAACTATTAGGACAAAATAAACAAAAGAACAACCCTCCACCCCCCCCCCTCCTCTTTAAACAAAGAATAAACGCACATAAATTGTTCATTGTGTTGTTGTTTGTTGTTATTGTTACTGCTGTTGTTGTTTTCCTCCTCTTCTTCTGCTTTTTCTTCTTCTGCTTTTTCTTGTTCTTCTTTTTCCTCTCGCTCCTCCTTCTTTTTCTTTTCTTCTCTCGCTTCTTCTCCCCCTTCTTCTTCTTCTTCTTCTTCTTCTTCTTCTTCTTCTTCTTCTTCTTCTTCTTCTTCTTCTTCTTCTTCTTCTTCTTCTTCTTCTTCTTCTTCTTCTTTTTCTTTGTCTTCTTCTTCTTCTTTTCTTCTCTCGCTCCTCCTTCTTCTGTCCCCTCTTCTTTTCCGTCGTCTTTTGTTAACTAAAACTGTCATTCTCAGAGAAAGGGAGCACATATGGGGATATTTCGAACGCAGCTACGGCTGTTCTTTATAGTTTCTGCGACCACCCAAAAACTCTTAGATCTGACTGTGACTGTCATTTTACTGAACTAGTCAACATATGCTTGATCAATGTGTTGTTTACATTATGTCCTTTCCATCTTTTGACACAGTGGAATTGCCAGGTACCAGCTCAGTAGAAGAGCGCATCGTGCGACAGTGCTCCAAGAGCAGACGTGATGCGGACTGTATCTCCGTGTACGGAACCAATGGGAAACGCTACAAACAGTTCACTTGTGAATGCAATGGCGACTACTGTAATCAGTCGACTCGGTCCAGACCACTGGCTTTGCTTGTTTGTGTTATCGCCATGGTAACTTTGTTTATGCTTGTCTAAATTGGGAGGGAGAAAGGGGAGAGGGTTAGGGGTAAATAACACGATAAAATGTGTGATTAAGCTGTTTATAACAATAACGTGGCGAGCAAGTGAAATGCGTGGTTGCGCTGTTTATGACAATAATGTGGCGAGCTAGTGAAATGAAAGGTTAAGCTTTTTATGATTATAATGTGGCTAGAGAGATATGAAAATTTGCGGATAATAACGTGGCTAGAGAGACAGGGAAATTTATGGTTGTGTCTTATTTAAAATAATAATGTTGAGAGAGAGAGAGAGAGAGAGAGAGAGAGAGAGAGAGAGAGAGAGAGAGAGAGAGAGAGAGAGAGAGAGAGAGAGAAAACACTTTGTGATTATAATAATGTGGCGTGAGACCAGCTAAGATACGGTGTATGGGTGTGAGTGTGTGTTGCGTCAGAGGGATTTGTGTAGCTATGCAAGTTCGACTTTAGATTGATTAGGTTTTACGAGAGCTCAGTCATCATTGCAACATCCTTACCTGCACACGACAGCAGGTGGCGCTGGGACTGGTGTGCCCGTTAGGATACCCCAGTTATGACATTTCTGGAAACTGACCGGGACATCTTAGATGTACCCTGTTGGTATGCCATCCAGATTGATATTTTTTTTAATTATCTCAGGGTGGTCAAACTTGCAGGTAATAGCCTGGATGGCGCGTGGGAGGAAAAAGGAGGACAAAACGGAACGAGATATAAAAAAGAATGGTGGTAAATTCCCCTGATAAATTATGATAAAATAAGGCCTCCCAGTAAATCAAAACATAAACTTGTATGTCTTTTTATAATACTGTAGCAATACTTATATGTACATATCTGTATGTTTACCTGTTGTTAACATATACTGATATTTACCTCGCTGTGATGAGACCATTGTGGTGGATCTTCTCTCCCGTCTGTGGATCTTCTCTCTTTCCTGTGGATCTTCTCTCTTTTCTGTGGATCTTCTCTCCTTTCTGTGGATCTTCTCTCTTTTCTGTGGATCTTATCTCTTTTCTGTGGATCTTCTCTCCTTTCTGTAGATCTTCCCTCCTTTCGGTGGATCTTCTCTCCTTTCTATGGATCTTCTCTCCTTTCTGTGGATCTTCTCTCTTTTCTGTGGATCTTCTCTCTTTTCTGTGGATCTTCTCTCCCTTCTGTGGATCTTCTCTCTTTTCTGTGGATCTTCTCTCTTTTCTGTGGATCTTCTCTCTTTTCTGTGGATCTTCTCTCTTTTTTTTTGTAAATCTTCTCTCCTTTCTGTAGATCTTCTCTCCTTTCTGTAGATCTTCTCTCCTTTCTGTGGATCTTCTCTCCTTTCTGTAGATCTTGTCTCCTTTCTGTATATCTTCTCTCCTTTCTGTGGATCTTCTCTCCTTTCTGTAGATCTTCTCTCCTTTCTGTGGATCTTCTCTCCTTTCTGTGGACCTTCTCTCCTTTCTGTGGATCTTCTCTCCTGTCTGTGGATCTTCTCTCTTTTCTGTGCATCTTTTCTCCTTTCTGTGGATCTTGTCTCTTTTCTGTGGATCTTCTCTCCTTTCTGTAGATCTTCTCTCTTTTCTGTGGATCTTCTCTCTTTTCTGTGGATCTTCTCTCCCTTCTGTGGATCTTCTCTCTTTTCTGTGGATCTTCTCTCTTTTCTGTGGATCTTCTCTCTTTTCTGTGGATCTTCTTTCTTTTCTGTGGATCTTCTCTCCTTTTTGTGGATCTTCTCTCCTTTCTGTGGATCTTCTCTTCTTTCTGTAGATCTTCTCTCCTTTCTGTAGATCTTCTCTCATTGCTATGGATCTTCTCTCTTTTCTGTGGATCTTCGCTCTTTTCTGTGAATCTTCTATCTTTTCTGTAGATCTTCTCTCCTTTCTGTGGATCTTCTCTCCTTTCTGTAGATCTTCTCTCCTTTCTGTGGATCTTCTCTCTTTTCTGTGAATCTTCTCTCCTTTCTGTAGATCTTCTCTTCTTTCTGTAGATCTTCTCTCCTTTCTGTGGATCTTCTCTCCTTTCTGTGGATCTTCTCTCTTTTCTGTGGATCTTCTCTCTTTTCTGTGGATCTTCTCTCCTTTCTGTAGATCTTCTCTCCTTTCTGTGGATCTTCTCCCTTTTCTGTGGATCTTCTCTCCTTTCTGTGGATCTTCTCTCCTTTCTGTTGATCTTAGCTCCTTTCTGTGGATCCCTTTCTGTGGATCTCTCCTTTTTGTGGATCTTCTCTCCTTTCTGCGGATCTTCTCTCCTTTCTGTGTCCTACGTACATGTTGAAATGCATTCTCTCAGCTTCTCCATTTGTATATAGCTTGGGTGTGTGACTTCGTCTTCTTCTTCTTTTTCTTCTTCTCCCCCCCCCCCCTTTTTTTTTCTTTTTCTTTTTCTTTTTTTTCGCATTTAAACCTTTTAACAGTTGTCCTTATTTTCTACCTAATTTCCTTCCTCTATACAACTAGCCCCATGGCAAACTGTTCCCATAATCCTCCCTAACACTAGCGTATCATTCGTGCCCCGCTTGCACACATCTTTAAATCGTAGGTGAGATTGAATTCAACCTCGACCCATCTGTAGTTCTCCATAGAGGATAGTTGTATGTTCACTTGCTTTAGAATGCTACTGTTTGCTTGTATTTAACACTATGGTGTCTCCTTCTTCTTGTTGATGACCATAGTTTCCGTTTTATTTAACTTTAGGCCTAGTTTTTTCCCGTGAACTATTACTGCATCCATTCAACATTACAGATGCTTGTCATCGTCTGCAGTCAACACTGTCTCTACTATATATCTTATACTGTTGTTGTTACATCCTGCCACATTTATTTCCTTCAGGTCTTTTAGATGTCGCATAATATGTTCACTTTATAAGAGGTGGGCGGATCTGGAGACATAACATTTTCACTTTATAAGGAAGAGGGTGGATCTGGAGACCAGAATTGTTCACTATGTATGGGAGAGGGTGGATTTGGAGACATTATATTTTCACTATACAAGGAGGATGGCGGATCTGGGGACATTACATTTTCACTAAATAAGGAGGATGGCGGTTCTGGGGACATAACATTTTCACTAAATAAGGGGGAGGGTGGATCTGGAGACCAGAAATGTTCACTATGTATGGGAGGGGGTGGATTTGGAGACATTATATTTTCACTATACAAGGAGAATGGCGGATCTGTGGACATTACATTTTCACTAAATAAGGGGGAGGGTGGATCTGGGAACATTACATTTTCACTATATAAGGAAGGAGGGCTGATCTGGGGACATAATATTTTCACTAAATAAGGGGAAGGGTGAATCTAGGAACATTACATTTTCACTATAAAGGGGGATGGCTTATCTAGGGACATAACATTTTTACTAAATAAGGGGGAGGGTGGATCTGGAAACATAGAAACATAACATTTTCACTATATAAGGGGGAGGGTGGATCTGGGGACATTACATTTTCACTAAATAAGGGGGAGGGTGGATCTGGAAACATAACATTTTCACCAGATAAGGGGGAGGGTGGATCTGGGGACATTACATTTTCACTAAATAAGGGGGAGGGTGGATCTGGGGACATTAAATTTTCACTAAATAAGGGGAAGGTGGATCTGGGGACATTACATATTCACTATATAAGGAGGATGGCGGATCTGGGGGCATTATATTTTCACTAAATAAGGGGGAGTGTGGATCTGGAGACATTACATTTTCACTATAAAGGGTCAGGGTGGATCTGGAGACATTATAAATTTTTACTATATAAGGGGTGGGAAGGGTGGATCTGGAGACATAACGTTTTCACTAAATAAATGAGAGGGTGGATCTGGGGACATAACATTTTCACTATATAAGGGGTGGGGAGAGTGGATCTGGGGACATAACATTTTCATTATGTAAAAAAGGGAGGGGGTGGCGGATTTAGAGAAATTATATATCTCATACCTTTCTTGACTGGTTGCCACCGACCTACTTATTTATATATATTTTTTACAGCAGCATGTTGTTTTATCTATATGTTCATAATCAGTACAAGAGCCTTCCCGTCGATCTGTAGATTTTCAAGCATTGTTACTAAGTCTACGATGCATAGAACCATAGATGTCAAACAGGATAGAAGTTGTCTTTTTCATATGACAAAGTTAACCACATAAATATACCCCTTAAAGATGAACATGTTAAAGTCGCATATAAAATAACACATACAGAAAACTAAATCGTGTCTGACACATAATTCATCCACATACTTATGTCTATCATGCAGTCATATCCAAAAACTTGGCCAAAGCATTCACATTTTATACATCAGTCATCATTAGGTTATTGAAGTTGCCACTTCCGCTGTTCTATTGATACTTCAGACATTTATCCTGTAAACTGAATTATATCGGACACAATTTTCATGTGCAACTCTCCATTTCCCGCCGTTCAGATCAGTTAAATTGCTCGAAAGCTTTTGCATTTTTGACATCAATCGTCTCTGTACACAAATAAGACGAGTCATTGGCTATCCTTACTGTGTGTGAGTCAACGTACTGTGTGTGACTGTATCCCTTATATTTCACCTTCGAGGGAAAGAAGACGAGTGGCTATCCTAGGGGTTAGCCCTATCAGATTCCCGAGCTGCTGACCCAGGTTCGAATCTTCAGTAGGGTGACAGTCGGGCAGGGCTTAGTAGCCGTGATGTGTGTGTTTTGTTTCTATTGTGGGGGTATTGTATTATATAGTATGCTCTTAAATGTGGATATCAATAGATAAATATTTTGAACAATGCATGACTGATTCGGGTTGTCTTCATAGAGAATTATACTTGCTGATGCAGGATTCTGCTATTTATGTTCTTTATTAAATATACTGTACATATTTTTACATAAAAGAACATTATAACCATGGAAATAAGATGTCTGAGAAAACCTGTAGGAGTGACCAGAAGAGATAAAATCAAGGACGACGTCATACGAGATAACGTCGGCACATAACCAATTCTAAATGACATACAAAGGCAGCAAATGAAATGGTTTGCCACTTGGAGAGAATACAT